CGCCCCCCCCCCCCCCACTGTCTCCCTGGCACATCCATGCTTCATGTGACTGCCAGAGTGACTTTTCTAAAATCCCAGCAGGTTACTCCTCTGCTTAGAAACCTTCTATGGCTCCTGGCTACCTTTAGGGCAAAATCCACGCTCCTCCGTTAGCATGACCTATGAGACCCTTGGTGATCTGAACCCCCGCCCACTTCTCCAGCTTTGTCCTTAACTACTGCCCGGCTCCCACCTTCCTGCCAAACCTGCCGACTTACATTTCTTGGTACTTGCTGTATTCTCCCAGACATACTCCGGCGGGTCTGCCAGGAGGCCCCTCCCCTCTTCCACTGACCAACGCCCCACGCACCCCTGGAGCCTCAGATCCGGCCTTACCTTCCTCCCTGGAAAGCTTTTCCTGCACCTTTCGCCTGGGTCAGGCCCCGCCCTTGGGTGGCAACCCCCCCGAAACTCTCATGCTCACCTGTCACAGGCCTGCTTCTGTCACCTTTCCTCATCCCCTGCTCCACCAGAATGCAGATTTGCATCATCTGCTTAGCTCCGTCTTGCTCCCCTGGAAAGCAGTTTCTCAGGGAATCTGTTCTTTCTCTTGGGGTAAGCATACCAGTCTTGCCTCAAAAAGCATACCAGAAATGCCAATGGCTTGATGTGAGGCATGGAGGCTTTTCAGCATGGGAGTTTGTCCCCTGCAGCCAAACCTCAATTTTACATGGAGGAGGTAGGCTAGGCAATATCACATGATGAGGGAAATCTGCGCGGGAGAATAGCTGACTCCGGGAGAAACGATAGAGTGCTTTCCAATCTTCCGGCTGACTTGGTTTTCATTTTGGAAGAAGCAGGGCAGATGCCTGTCTCAGGTCCTCAGATCTGCTGATAGTTCAGATGCTTAGGGGCAGACTTTTCCCACGAAGAGGGGACTGCTGTTCTGTCCTTTGAACGCTGGGCACCGGCACAAGCCAACGTTCCCTCCAAGCCCGGCAGCCGGCAGCCCGCAGCCGCTGGGCAGGAAGGCCCCGCCCCCACGGCCTTCACCCAGCCCAGCCCACCTTGCAAGCTGTCAAGGGAGAGACCGTGGAGCAGAGACCGCAGCCCTGCATCAGGCACCCAATTTGCATCTACAAAATGGGCTTGGGGGTGGAGTGGGCTGTGCCAGCTGCTGATGGCAACTGCCAGGATCCAGGAAGTGTTCACCCTTTCAAACACCGAAGAAGTTCATGGAGAACAAAAAGTTATTGCTACGCTACACTGTGTCAATTTAAGGTGTAGTTCCTAGACACATATGACAGGCCGAGAACGTTGACAGGGAGGGTTTGGATCATTTCATGGATGACAAGAACCCGGTGGGTTATTAAGGGAAGATCGTAACGTTTTGAGCCCGGAAGAGGTAACAGAGAGGGCCAAGCAGGCGGGCCAGGCGGAGACGGAAACCTGTGTGGATGAGCTCAGGGTGGCCTTTCTGTGTTCTGTGATGACTCAATTTCTCCCTGGTGTTCAAGGATGGGGATGGGAGGGCTGGGGACACAACAGTCCATTGCAAGGGCTGTCCAAGCTTCCAGGGATGCCGTGCTATTTTGAAAATGCACCGTTCTCTAAGGCAGCATGGATCCCTAGCCACCAACTGCTTTTCCCTCCCTTCAGCCAAAGTCAACCTGTATTCTACTGTCTTCATACACAATTTCTGAATGGGGGCAATTTTCCAAACTATAACTTATAGATTACACGTAATGAAAAAGCAATGCCGATGATTAAAGAAGCCCTATCTCGGAAAAAGTGCCCGTGGGTGTGTCTCATGGGAGGGCAGAAGTCCAGGTAAATTACATGACTCACCACAAAATATCAGAAATGTACACTTGCACATTTGGCCCTTTTCCCACCCCTCTGCCCCCTACAGACGACTCCTCGAGGATGAGACTTGTGCGGGAAGCCAGACCTAGCGGCCAAAGAGCCCCGGGGGACAGGCAAACTGTGTGTCTCTACTCAGAGCCAAGTTGAAAGCAGTTCCTTCCAGTGCACGGCTTGGCCATCTGCTGTGGGAACGAGGTCCTGAGCCGCCCCGATCACTAGCTCCTGGCCAGCTGGTGAGCTCTTCCCTGCAAATGTAGGAAGCTTCCCGCACTCGGTGGTTAATGGAA